TTTTTTTTTTTTTACTGCGAGAGAGGGAGAGAGGAAATAGAGGCACCAGAGCTCCACCAGTCCACTGAAATCTTCCTCCGTCCCGGATCATGTACCAGGACTACTCCGTGAACTACGACACCTCGTCCCGCGGCAGCAGCACCTCTCCGGCCCAGCCAGAGTCCTTCACAAGCGGCAGCAGCACGATCGGAAGTCCGATCTCTACCTCAAGCTACCAGGTAACACACGACGAGCTGTGGCTGAATTATCTGCTGCTTTAATCTGGAATAGTCTGCTTTGTCAGGCGCACAGCCATCTGGAACAGCCTTTTTTTTAAATTATTATTATTTATTTATTGTTTTACAAATCAGAGTGTTGTGTTCCACTTTTTAAACCAGATGCAAGGCTTTTTTATTTACGCACAGCTATTTGAATCCTGTCACACAGCTTGTGCGTTTCAAATTTGTGGAAAATGCGTCCAAAGCTCAGAAATTGTGACATTTCGGATTTTACGCWCAGACGCGCACAGCTATACATTCTACAAGGTGGCGTTTGTATGTTTTGTTTGGGGGAAAGCGGCACGTCGACACGAGCCTCTGATTTCCAGATGTGACATTTCAGATCCTCCWGTCGTTCTTTTATTTATTTWTTTRRCCCCTGACTGTAAATCTGCACCATTTGCGCTCATCGCACCGACTGAGGCTCATTTCACGCGTAAGGCTGCATCCCCGAGGAAAAGCCAGCCCCATACCGAAGGTATATGGACCCCGAGCTGTGAGGCTGTAAARAAGCAGGGGGGGTGAAGCCTGTTCTGGATGCAACAGGCTTCCAGTCTGCTGCCTTCATGTAAACACAGTCGGCAGATGTCGGAGACCTGGTCGCCAGCAGTTTTTATCCTGTTTAAACTGGGCAGTTATCCTCACATATTTGTTAGAAATATGAAAAGGTGTGTGTGTGTGTGTGGGGGGGGGGGGGTTCTAATTTAATCGGACGGCTCTCGGGCCGCAGATGGCACACTTCCTCCAGCGGGAAGCGCGCTCAGAGCGAGAACAGGGCGATCAAAAACAAACACTTCCTCACCGAGGAAATGCCAGTTAAGGTGGTGGTGGTGGGGGTGGGGGGTACTTGTTCCTAAACCCTCTGCTTTACCAGGGGGTCGTGCATTCCTAATGTCCACGTTAACCGTAGGAGTGTAACACCGTGACGACAGCGCCCCGTATTATAGGATCTAAATCCGGGAACAGGCGCGCTGTTTCCACACACCCCTGCGCTTCTGTGGAAAAGRGTCGTCAGGCTCGCGCAGCGTTACTGTAAACGACTTTTTGGCCCGTATCTCAAACTGCTTCGGGTTTTTTTTTTTTGTAATCACTCACTGCCTGTTTTCCATCCCAGCTCGCCGGCTATTACTGAAACGTGGCTTTATTACAGCAGTAATATTTCATCATGCTTAAAGTATTTGTGCAATGACTCCCAGGAATTTTTTTAGCCCCCCACCGTGCTCCTCTGCGCGTAGCTTACCTTGGCTTGTTCTCTTATTTATTGCTCTACCTTTTAAAAATTCTCTCGCAAAATTCTGGGATAACTGCCTCAGCTGTTCTTCACCCCGCTCCTCCTCCTTACTGGAACTGAGCGAGATTCGCATGTGCTGAACAAATCCCATACACAATGACTCACCCAGATAAACAAAGTTCCAATAGACTGCCGGGATATCCGACGGAAAGTCGGGAATAACGAGGACGTGCGTAATTTACGCACACAAGGCAGGCGGACAGCAGCTCCATATGTGGACACCAGAAACATGATGCAACACTGGTCTGACATCAGTTCTCTGTTCAGAAATGTGTGCGTGATGCAGATCATGAGAGAGGTTATTAGTGGTGCCAACAAAACTCCCATCTGCATCAGTTTCTGTAAAAAAAAAAAGTTTGTTGAAGCAGAGCAGCCCTGCTGCACAGCATCTCTGAGATGAAACGTACCACTTTTAAAGTTTCTACAAATAGAGATTTGTTTCCACAAAAAAAATATTCCTTTAAATTTAAAATCAGCATTCAAACTACAGTCAGTCCAGACAAGCACATTTGAGTCTGTTTTGTGCTTTTTGTAGTAAAATGAGATGAACTGGACACCTTGGGCTTTCCCACATGATTCACAGTATGTGTCACTGTTCCACTTCAGGGGTTACAGTCTGCGTCAATTGAATCATTACTATAAAGCTGTAAATGTGAAAAATGTGTAATTTTTTTTATCTTAGTGGGTGGCGATGGAGACGACGCCGCGTTTGAGGGACAGAAAAACTAAGATGCTTATAGGATTTAACAGCTGCCCACCCCTCACTTCTTCTGAAGCGTTTTCCTCCATCGCCTCTCATCACCCTTTTCTTCTCCTTTCTGTTTGCAGAAGTACAGGGTTGACATGCCTGGCTCCAACAGTGCCTTCATTCCTACYATCAATGCAATCACAACCAGCCAAGACCTGCAGTGGATGGTGCAGCCCACAGTCATCACCTCCATGTCCAACCCCTACACCCGCTCTCATCCGTACGGCCATCACCTGACCAACGGGCCGGGGCTGCTGGCGCACAACACGCTGGCTCGGCCCGGGGTCATTCGCTCCATCGGAGATGCCAGGGGCAGACGCAAGAGGGACGAACAGGTGAGCGAACCCCTTTTTCCGTTTTATTAGTGGCCTTCTGCTCCACCCCTCCCCACCCCCCCGAAAAACAGCTTGTTTTATTCATTTTCCTCTCCTGCTCGCAGCTGACGCCAGAAGAAGAGGAGAAAAGAAGGGTGAGGCGCGAGAGGAACAAGTTGGCTGCAGCCAAATGCCGCAACCGCCGCCGAGAGCTCACAGAGATGCTGCAGGGGGTGAGTTCAAAAATAAGCTCGAAATCTGAAGTCTTTTGCGTGGCTCTTCTGTTCTTGTCATCTTCAATTTTATTTTTTTGCTGAAGAGAAAAAATAATAATAATTTGAGCACAAAGAGATGAAAAAGTCACTCTTGTTCAGAAGTGTGTCAAGAGCCCAGATTTCTGATAAAGGAAAAAAAAACTGAAATCCACTTCTGCATTTCTAACCTGACTGGACTGGTTTGAGTTTTAAGTGCGAGGTCTGAGTGAAGAGATGACAGGAGCTGAAAAGCTTTTTGTTTCAGGCAGCTGCAGACAGAGGTTGGGCTGTCTCACGGCTCATGGCTCGCAGACAGTAACGACAGCTAAATGGACTAATTAGTGGAATTACAGTGAGGTTGAGCTTGTCAGACCATGAAAAATAAAAAAAAACAGCAATGAAATTTGCTGTAGGCAGCTGTCTCCACGAATGCAGGACATTTTGTAGAAAAAGGCCAATCACTCATGGAGACACCACAGTCGCGCCACCAAAATATCTTCCTTCCTCACCTTTTTGTTAAACATCCAAATAAGAGGCACCGCTTTCCCGGGAAATTCAGCTGCAATATTTAATCTTTATTTGTTGAAGACTCCCACGTCACGCCTTTATGCTCTTTGTGAACAACTTCCGTATACCTTTACCCTTGAGTCAAAGTTCTCAGACAACACGTCAGCTTTATCTTTGGCTGCCTGACAAACTTTGTTTAATTCTTTTTTTTTAATCTAGATTTAATACTTTGGTGACACAATGTAGATATCAAAGCTTTGAGACACAAACYTCACACAGACATAAGAAAACTGACAAATTCAAACAGACAGATTTGAGATTACATGTTGCTGGTCTCTGCGTTTTAGGACCAGGAAAAGTGACACAAACAAACACTGCCATCTTTTGGATCTCTGGGGAACCACAGAGACAATCTGTTGCATGTTTTAGATATGAAACTTTTATTGGATTTAAATGAAATTTCATTCAGTTTTCAGCAAACTATGTAATCACTGCAGATATACAGTTTGTATGCAAGTCATCAGTAAATTAAACCTGACTGGTTTAAAAAAAATAGACAAAAATAAATGCAAAAGTATTAAAATAATACTAAAGTATACTAAATTAGAAAAAAAATCCATCAAATTATGATAAAAATATACCAGATAAAAACAGTCAGTATGTATGTAAAARAAATTAAGTTATTTATTTAAAAAAGAAAAAAAGAAGGAAAATATTTAAGCAGTTTTTAACTAAAAAGAAAAAAACTTTATTCTTTTCATTTAAAATGAATAATTTTTAGCTTCTTTTGTTTTTTATATTTATCTGTTCAAATATATGCTTTACATAAATTTTTTAATAGATTTTGTTCTGTTTTTATCACACTCTCGCTATTTCAAACCACGCAAACTTATGAGCATCTGGATTTTTTCATTTGTTTTTTCAAACAGGAGACCGAGAAGCTGGAGGAGGAGAAGGCCGACCTGCAGAAGGAGATCGAGAGCCTCCAGAAAGAGAAAGACAAGCTGGAGTTCATGCTGGTCGCCCACAACCCCGTGTGCAAGCTGCCCATGGAGGACCGCCACCAGTCGTCGGGGCACCAGCCGCAGCAGTGCGCCCCGCTGCCGCTCACCATGCGCCCCAACGTGGGCTCGCGGGCTCACATGAACCAGGTGGTGGTGAAGCAGGAGCCCGAGGACATGGAGGACGGCGTGGGCAAACCCCAGCGCTCCGTTATCAAGCCCATCTGCCTGGGAGGGGGCAGCGTCAGCGGCGGGATGTACTGCCCGGACGGAGACAGCCTGAACACGCCGGTGGTGGTGGCGTCCACCCCGGCCGCCACGCCAAACGCTCCCAGCCTCATATTCACCTACCCCAGCATGATGGAGCCCGAGAGCCCGTCACCCTCCTCCGAGTCCTGCTCCAAGGCTCACCGGCGCAGCAGCAGCAGCGGCGACCAGTCCTCCGACTCCCTCAACTCGCCCACGCTCCTGGCGCTCTGAGTTTGGGAGGTGAAACAAGCACTGTGGCTGAACTCTGACCCCCCCACCCCCACCCCAGCCCACCTCACCACTCCTCCACTCCTTCAGTGTCTTTAAAGCACATTTTTAAAAAAGTCCAGACCAAGCTGACCATGTGAGCCGTCCCCCTCCACCCTCCGGGCGAAGCAAAGGGGGGGGACCCACAAGGGCTACGCCGTGTTTCCTCAAATCGAGCGTGAAATGTTCTTCTCGTCAACGTGTGAGCAGCAACCCCCCCGAAAGGCATCCCTCTCTTCGCCATTTCAACTCCAGGGTGTCGACGCGTTTACTGACATTTCTGAAGAAAGACGCCCGCGTTGACGRGACTACAACCAGAGAAGAACTTCTAAATATATAAATATATATATTTTGAAAACATCTAAATAAAAAAAAAGCCATGTGGCCGACTAACTCTTGCACTCTGCCAATCAATAAATCACTAAGCAGGTCGGCGTTCTTTTGAAAATTCGGAGGAGAGACAATGAACAAAAACTTCCTCTCGTTCGTTCATTTTTCCTTTTTTTGTTTTGTTTTTGACTTTGGGAACTCGATTCAGGACAGAGTGTGTACACTTTTCTGGTGTTCTCTCCATCTCTATAAGTGTATTTATGGCCTGTGCTGGTTGAATTTTGTTGTTGTCTCCTTTGAATCTGCCTGTAGAAAAGCAGCGTGATCATCCGCAGGGCGACCTGAGAACTCCTCAATGTCGCCAAGAATTTGAGCCAACTTTTAATCGATGACTAGCTCCTCAATATTTTCTATTTTTGCCATTGTGGCTTGAATTTACGGTTAATATTGTGTGCTTTTCTTAAGTGATTCTGTACCTGAACTCTACAGCTTGTTTTTTTTTTTTTTTTTGACAAAGTGTATGTGATTTACATTGATGTCAGGGATTATCTCTCATGTGTGTAGTAGAAACCTGTTGTGACGAGTGTTGCAGGACTGCTGGCTGGTGCAGAGGTGGTACTTTTGAAAATTGCATAGCCTCATTGTGTCTCACTGAGAGCTTTGTCTTTTCTTTTCTTTTTTTATTTTGCTCAGACATTTCAAAAAAAAAGTTTGAACAAAATCCTCCTCCGCTTCATRCTCTAAATAAACTTTTTTTTGTCCAACGCCGCCTCTCAGGGGCAGATCAGGTTCCAAAAGGCCAAAACAAAACCTTTTTTTATGACACATGTAATCCTGTATTTCATCAGTCTTTGTCTAAAAAAAATAATACAAATAAAAAAAGGAGGGATTTTGCACAAACTTGAAAAAAGCCACGGTGGTCCAGACTGTCGCCAGCTGCCAAACGATGTCAACTCTGTTTATACGATGTTTGTAAATCTGTCACTTTTAGTAAAGAAATGATGTTTAAATTCTGCTCAGATGTGCTGATTTCTGGGAGCATGAGGTACTGATCGGCTGAAGCACCAGCACCGGACGCAGTTTGCTTTTCAACGAAGGGATGAAGAAGAAGACTTTCTCTACAGCTGGTCTGACGTGAAAGAGTGAACACTTTGACCACTTTTTGGTCTTTATTTGTACCTGTACGTTAAAGGGACGAGGGGGTTTGAAACGACGCACTGAGGCGGACAGAACAGCCATATCTGAGAATCTTTGTTTACTTGAGACATTCCAAATAAATTTAATGTCAGGGGTTTAAAAAAAAACTGCCATCATCTTTGCTTGAATTCTATTTTTTTTTTCAATCTGAGGAATTTGTTTTTATTTGTTGCGCTGGATGCAGAATCTACATATTTGCAACTGAACACAAGCTGCTGCTACTTGCTTGGAAAGAACACGTGGGCTGTTTTTGATTTAATGTGACTCATTGTTCAATATTTTTTGGTAAAAAAAAAAGGGGGGGTGTGGTGAATTCTTTAATCCAGCATGACAACCTAAAGAGACGAGAGCAGAACCAAAAACATGTGTTTGTTGGAGCACGAGCCCTCGACACACACAGGAAAGCCATCAYCTCTTCTACTGTACATGTCATCTACTGTCTGTCGCCTGTTCAGCTACTATTTCTGTTTTTTTTTCTTTTTTTCGGCTGCTTTACCTGTTTAAAATGATTCAAAATGAATAAAAACAGCAATATGTATAGCAGTGTTTGTTAATTTAAAAGAGTAATAATAATAAAAGAATTTTCAACTTGGAACTGTTTTTTTTAACAAAATAAAACCGGAAACATTGATATCCGCTTATAACCATTTTGATTTAATCTTTCAGTTTAGGTTAATTAGGTATTCTAAATATTCAAATACGTTTTGTTCCTTTGAGCGTTCTTTTAAAAAAAGTTTTTTTTTATATACATCATAGATAGGTTAAAAAATTAACAAAATAAAATTGCTGGATSCATGCAACAATTTGTTTGTTGAGCCTAAAATTCATTCTGAAGAATTGTTTGTTTTAGAGTCTGGAGAATTTTGTAAGAAATAACATAAATTATTTTAAAACCCTTCAAACATTTTTGAGGAAAAAAAATACAAGCCTGTTTATTCTCAGCATGTGCTCACACCAACATTTTAGAGTTATTAAAAATCATTTTTTCCTTTGCGGCAACAAAGAAAACTTTTGAGCCACCATGGAATAGTTTGGTCATTTTTCCATCAGTGGCTGAAAAACAATCTATTTTGAAAAATTTCTGAATAATTTAAAACACTTCTGCTCTGATGAGAAACAGATTGAAGAAAAAGAACTGCAAGAAAAATAAAAAATAAAGTCTGAATTGGTCAGCTGAGGCAACAACTTGGTGCACACAACACGACCAGGACAAAAACTGAAAAGTAACATCTAAAAAAGGAGCAAACCTCCAGATTTAAATCCTGACAGATTAACTGAGACAAAGAATGTGCAGCAAGCAAACATCTTTGGACTGTTTCAACATGGATTAATAAAAGAAGAAGAGAAAAACAAATTCGATGAATTATTTTATAAATGTCAACTCACTCATTTCTTTAGTCATCACAATCTGTCCACTGAGGTCCAGAAACAAACATTTTGAGCGCACCTGCCACCAAAACATCAACACAAGGAATCAAAATGTGACACAACCAATAAGTCAGTAATACCATAAAAAATGATTTATTTTGGTTCAAAAAGTCAGATGACATTTTAGTAAAAATCGTCTTTTAGAATCAAATAAACACCTCTTTGGAGTACATGAAATATTACTATTTGTTTATTTTTGATCCTTTTTTTCCATCATATAACCAGACAATGCTCTACACTGTTTATCGGAGAGACTTCTCAGTGTTTTTGCTCAAATAATGAATGTCTGATGCCCTCAAGTGGTTCTAAGAAGAAGATACAGTTAAAAAAAAAAGTGTTTTCTTACTTGATCAACAGTAGCAGCAAGGTTTGAATATATTATAATACATAAACATTCATGTCATTTTGATATTCATCTAATTGTGCACCAAATGTTTTTGATGTCTTGTCATTTTCCAGCTGCAGGATCAGTTAAGACCAGATGGTGTCTTTGTCTGATTAAAAGTATCTTTTTAAAACCTAATTTTTGAAAAGTTGAAATACTTGAATATTTCCATGTAAGTTTCCATAAAGTATATTTTCTATTATACTATTCAGTTCAGTGTCAACCTTTTAAAGTTTTAGTTTGCAATTCAAAGTTTGACATTATTATACTTCTCATTTCCTTTTTTATTCGTTTATTTATTTTGTTTGGCAATACAGGTGGTGTTGCATTTAAAATACAAAAATGTCAGTTTATTTTTTCTCAAAAAAAAACTTGTGATTGATAAATATGCATGAAAATATTCCTGTTCACAAGATGTCCTAACATTTAAAACAGTGGTGTCCAAAGTTGGTCCTCAAGGACCGGTGTCCTGCATGTTTTAGGTGCTGCCCTGGTTCYACGCAGCTGAACCTGATGAGTAATTAATTAGTAGGCCTCCTCAGTATGCCATCAAGGCCTATCAATTATATTATACTTAACTATATAATTTTAATAATATTTTGATAAATATGCATGAAAATATTCCTGTTCACAA